TTTGCATAATTTACTATAGGGAAAAGTGAATAGAAACCCGGAAGTGGGGGGGGGTTGTCTCTGAAGGGAGGAGCAGTCCACCCCCTCACATACACAGCCAAAACCCAGGGGTAGATTATTTCTTCAATTCTCCAGTAGCAGTTGGAGAAAAGGACCCCACCTTCTCTCTCTCTCTCTGGCTGTCTCTCTCTCCCTCTCTCTTTACCTCCCTCTCTATGTGTGTATGTGTATGCAGTGCATGTGTGACAAACCCAGGTACATACTTGTGTGTGTGTGTGTGTGTGTGTGCGTTTCATGTATTACTCCTTGGGTTGGTGATTACCTCAGTCTAAGAGCTTGGAACAGGAATGAAGGTTTTGGTGGGAGGGGCTGTTGGTGCCCATGCCAACCAAGCTCAGTCTTGACCCAAGCGCCACTTGTCTTTGGTGTTCCCTGTTGCTTAACATAATGTCCCTGGTCTTGGGCTGCTCCAACTTGGCCATTCATCCCTTTTTTGAAGAGGACTTCATGGTACCTTCAGCCTGTGGTGTGGTAGTGTCCCCTCTTCTTCGGGGAGCCCTTACATAGTGACTGGGGGTCCTAGGGAAACCTGTTGCTTCTAGAATTGAGCTAGCGATAACTGGAAGATATCCACTTGGCCACCGGAGAGGTCAAAACCATCTGGTTCCCCAGATGGTTCCGTCCCTTGAGATGGGGCTGCATTGTGGCACAGGTGGCACTCATAGGACAGGTCCACAGTGTGCAGGCACATGTGGTTCTTGAGGTCTTAGCTACGAAGGAAGCTGGCTGGGCAATGTGGGCATGAGTAGGGCACTCTCCTGTGTGCTTCCGCAAAGGAATCTTCATCTTGTCATCCTTGGTGAAGCATAGGTCATCCCGCCAGTATGGGTTCTCGTGTGGCATGGTAGTTTGCATGCAGATTGGGCACTGTCGGGGCATCTGTGGATGGTATCTATGCACCAGCAAGTTTTGGCCATCCAGGTGTGATGCCAGGGCATCCCAGCAAGTAGGCCATCAGGTCAGGATCAGCGATTTCTTCATCTGAGTCCTTTGGTGGTACTGGGGACTCATTGCTCTGTGCTAGCCTATTTGCTGGGGGATATACCCACTCCTCTTCTTCCTACCCTCAAAGACCTCATAGTTCTGGGACTGTTCAAGAGGTAGGGCAGTACCTATGGGAGAACTGTAGCTGTTCCCAAACCCACTGCTCCCACCATTGCCTACTTTACCAACCATCTCTTCTTTGTAAGTCACGGGATGGGTGAGTACTGTGGTTGTATCCAGAACCAGATGGTTTGTCCAGGCCCCCTTGTTATGAATAACGGTTTTGGGGGGAGCTTGCTAATGTGGCTGGCAACAGGTTAAGCTGCTGGTGGTGGTTAGGGGTCACCTGTGGAGGCAATCTTCACATTGAGCACTACTGAAGTTGAGGCTGTGGTGGTGGCAATGGCAAAAGCCTTCGTCCTCATCTGAGTTGGGGGCTTCTAACCCTCCACTTTGTAGACTTTCCATGCAGACAACAATGACAGAAGGGATTTCCAGCCATCAGGTGGCTTGGAGTACAGCAAGAATGTTGGCACTGCTGATGTTCAGTGTGACTGTGAAGGCAAATTGCAGCAGGGCACCCAGGTCCTCAGGCCATACAAAGTCCTGCTCACATTCACACACACGGGCCCCTGCTTTTTGAGCGTCTGTCCTGCCACCCCTGTTACCATAATGGCTCCCTCCCCCCATACACACCATGAGGAGCTTCTGGAAGTAGTGGCTGTGGGTAGCCAGCACAGGCATGTGAGTATTGTATTCAAGACCCTAAGTCCTGGTGCTGAGTTCTCATAGATGACCCAGCTGGCGTTGCTTCTTGGGGTATCTCAGGAGCTCAATGTGTGGTCTGGGAATAGATTTCTAATCCTGACATCCTCAGGGTTCCCCATCTTGTCAGCCTTTTTTGGAGCTGCAGAGGGATGGTGTGGATAGAAGCACTTAATAGAAAACCCAGGGCTTGGGTCCCTGCTCTGGTTTTGTCAGTAGGCTGAGGTCAGTGGCTAGCCTCTCATTGTTGGGGGACTCTCCGCACCGCCCTTTACCTCCAACTGCTGCCCAGGCCCCTGCACCATGAAGAGCTTTAAATTCACCTAGCTTTCCACTTCATCTGTCCTTCTCTCTCACCTGTAGTCTTGTCCTGCTTGCTTTCCCCTCATAAGTCCCCTCCTTTCCCATTACACCTGCCAACCCCAGCCCCCACAGCAATGGCCTCTATCAACTCAACTCCTGCTTTTTCAAGCCCCGCAGGCACCCTCTCCCTCTGCCCAATAAGGACATAAGCTTATACTTCTTCCAGTAGCTAGTTCCAGAGGGAAGCACATGAGTCCTACCATCCCTTTCATCCTACCATCCCTTTCATCCCCTTTCTCTAGCCCTCCCTCTCTATGCTCCCTGAGCCTTTCCCAGGTTTTTCATTCCCCTTTTTTCCTTTTATCTCTCTTCACCTGCCTCTATCCATCTCCTTCATCTCTTTTTATCACTATCCCCTCCAGTCCACTTTTACCTATACAGTTTTTAATAAATAGTCTTCCTAAAACACAAGTGAGTATTAGGATAAGATAAATATAAATTACCAGAAAATAATAGTCCAGGGGATGTGCTCAGATGGCCATGGTCTAGGAGAATTTCAGCATTTCTTGCCAGCTGTGGTCCTTCTTTTCTTATTCACCAAGGGTTGCTTATAGGGGTTGTGTTTGGGTGTTACCATACATTTTCATAATTGATTTTATATATAAGTAGTAGAACACCATGGCCTAAACAATTCTACATTCCTTTAGTCAGTTTTGTGTGGAAAGCATGGTAGACATTATTCCTAGAAGTTGTTTTGCCTTGATAATGTTGATATTTCTAAGTAGTAATCTTTAGAATCATTGTATAGAATAGATAGTTTTAAATTGTTTATTCATGGACAGTACTCAGTAGCTACATGTAGCTGAACTATTAATTCAATTAGATTTCAGTTCTCTTACTAGCCTCATAAAACTGCTCAGTATTTACTGGTGAGTAGAAGATGCACAGTAGAAAAACAGAGATTCTCATTTTTCATCTCAAGATTATTCTCCTGGACAGTGTTAGTGTAGAGCATAAGAAGTTCATTGAAACCAAGTATTTTATATTAGTTCTTTTTAATGTTTAGTAGTGCCTAAAATAATATACTAAGATAAGAAGGGAAAGAAACAGAGGAAGGGTTTGTTTCTCTTCTTCTAGTTCTCCTCCTCCTCCTTCTATTATTATTATTATTATCATCATCATCATCATCATCATCATCCAGTTATTTGTGATCAATTCATGTCTTTGAGTGTAATTGAAGTGCTTGGTAATTGTCAATCTAGCAGAGTAGGAGAGTAGCTTTATGCCATGGATCCATCATTAAGTAGATCTTGGGTGACATAGTGACAGTAGACAATAGTTTTATGTTATACCTGTTATGGCATAAGTCTCATCCCTAGAATTTATACACGTGCATGAAAATCTCTAATGTTTTTCTTCTTTAGAACTGCAAGAAATTAACATCTAAGACATACACTGGTATGAAGTCAAAGTATAGTACATTAAGAATCTAGAAAACTTTTTTCTTTTCCAAGTTTGACTACTTATTTTACCCTATATTGACTTTGTAATTAGAGAAAATTTTGCTGTGAAACCGTGTTTTTGTTTCTGTTTTTACAGATTTGTTTATTTATATTATGCATTGTTTTGATTTCTGCTTGGGGTAAGAAAGGGGAAAACACCTGAAAATATACAGTATTTACTATTAGATGAATCCTGTTTATTTTGTGTGTGATTATTTTAGGTTACTTTTAGAGTTTGAATATTGAGAATGTATATTTGTTTCAATTGAATTTAAATTGTGGGAATTTGCCCAAAGAATTTGGCTAATATACAATCTTGGGCAAAAACATACAAGTATACCATGCATGTCTATATTTTGAGTTGTTCCTTGAAATCAAAGTGCCCATGAATATCTCTCTTGACAAATTCTCTATTTGGAGGTCTTACCTAAAGCCTGATTATATTCAGTAGGTCGTGTGCACCATTACTAGTTTTCCTACATATAATGTACTTATTTATCACAAATGTCAAAGTAAGACTTGTATATAACCTATTACCATGAAAGGCTAGAAGGAGTGTCTGTGTTGAGGTATACATGTGACTTGAGGTTAGCATTCTAGTTGAAGGTGGGATCTAGAAAGCGTGTCTAGAGCATACTCATTCAAAAAATCCTTCTCCCATATGTAGTGCACTTTGGCTTTTCTTTTAGAAGTCATTCACTCAGGTGATGCCCTGAATAATACATTGTATAAGAACTAAAATGTTACATAAATACAGACTGCCAGGATATTTGGTGTACTTGCTGATTACAAAAACAAAAAACAAAAAAAACAAACAAGAAAACATACTGAAGATGATTTTCCCTGTGAGGGAAATAAATTTTCTACAGAATTATTGAACTACTACTTAATTATTTTTGAAGTGTGACCTCTCATTGGAAACCTTTAGTCATAATTGGAAAAGTTACCATTAAATTAAAATGATTTAAGTAGCAATTGTGTATTGATGCATGTGAAAATTAAAAATTGTCATTCCTCCTGGAATTAACATTGACATGTATTAAAAATAAGAAAATTTAATACTGTTTCATAGATAGTGTTCAAAAACATGCTATTACTTGTCTCTAGGCTTTCTATTACTTGTCTCTAGGCCTTTTAAAAGTTATCTGTTTTCAAGAGTTCTCATCTACTGGTGAAATCATGTATTTTGAGATTGTCGTAATATGTCTTCCAATTCTCTTCTTAAATAATAACTTTTATTTTAGTGAACACTTCTATACAACATACATTAGGCTACTTTTTAAAAGATTCTGACCATCATATATTTTAGAAAATAAAATCTTTGTGATTGTTTTGAGTAGCTAGGTGTCTATACCATTTTAAGTTATTTTCTGGTTGTCTTCACAGCTATGAAGTCTTACACTACATATTTCATGCTCCTATGGAGTGCTGTTGGAATAGCAAGGGCTGCCAAAATCATCATCGTGCCGCCAATTATGTTTGAAAGCCATTTGTACATTTTCAAGACGTTAGCATCAGCCTTGCATGAGAGAGGCCATCACACTGTGTTCCTTCTCTCAGAAGGCAGAGACATTGCCCCATCTAATCACTACAGCCTCCAGCGATACCCAGGGATCTTCAACAGTACCACCTCAGATGCTTTCCTGCAGTCTAAAATGCGGAATATTTTCTCTGGACGATTGACAGCAGTTGAACTGGTTGACATACTGGATCACTATACTAAGAATTGTGACATGATGGTTGGCAACCAAGCCCTAATCCAAGGTTTGAAAAAGGAGAAGTTTGATCTGCTACTTGTGGACCCCAATGATATGTGTGGATTTGTAATCGCTCATCTTTTAGGAGTTAAATACGCTGTGTTTTCTACCGGCCTTTGGTATCCTGCTGAAGTAGGAGCGCCTGCTCCTTTAGCTTATGTCCCAGAGTTTAACTCACTCCTCACAGACCGTATGAACTTCCTGGAAAGGATGAAAAATACCGGTGTTTACCTCATTTCCAGAATAGGGGTTAGCTTTCTGGTTCTTCCCAAATACGAGAGGATAATGCAGAAGTACAACCTGCTGCCTGCGAAGTCCATGTATGATTTGGTTCATGGGTCCAGCCTATGGATGTTGTGTACTGATGTAGCACTGGAGTTTCCAAGACCCACCCTGCCTAACGTTGTGTACGTTGGAGGAATCCTCACAAAGCCGGCCGGCCCACTGCCAGAAGTAAGGTTTGCTGAACTCCTTGGTAATTTGTTTTTAAAAATAAGGGTCAGTTTTTATTTCTGAAGGAAAAAGTATTGGTTAGTATCATTTTGAGAGCCCATAGATGATTAGCCCTTTTATTTGTGGATCCTTCTCCTCCCTGGAATTCATCTGCTTTGGGTAAGCATATCTGTAGTATCAAGAGGTTCTCTGTCATGTGCAGACAATAGACTGAATGGAAAATAGATGTTTAAGAAACAACTATTGTCTATACTTAACTGTTTAGTTTTAACAAGCAGAATTTCTTTTGCTTTTAATCAAGCACTCTGTTCTCAAATAGTATACAGAACATTGTGTTTTGTAAACTTAGTAAAATCAGAGAGAATAAAGGTAATTCCTTTGGGAATTTATGACTACAGCATTTCCATCCCATAGTACAAATAAGTATTAATTTTAAAGTAGGAAACTAATTTAAATTAACAACAAGTGTAACATTTTAAGAAAAGCATGCCTTAGTGCACTTTCATTTCAAAGACAGAATTAATGGTACTTTAAAATTTTTTGGCTTCTCAAATTTTCATGAATTTTTTTTTTTGGCTAGTTGAACCATCAGCAAATACATTGTTCTTAAGTAATCTTTTTTCCTTCCTATTTTGTGTTGATTAACCTAAATTCACATGAATCATTTGTGTATATATTAAAGGAGTTTCTGACTTTATGGTAGCTTAGTACTTGATACCACTTACAAGAGTAGTAAAGCTTATATAATTTTATTTTCTCTCATCTCTGAAAATAGCCTCCTGCACAAATGGTTGATTTTCACTGTAGACACTAAATAAAAAAAGTGTGCCAGGCCCTCAATGAAGAGAAAACCCAGATTGTCTCCTGTAGGTATTAACATAAAAATGATCATTGGGTAGTATTTTCTTAACAGTGTAATTAGGTTACTGGAATATAGATGCAAGGTTTTTCTGATAGACCCATTGGAATGATACTTAAGTAATACGTTGTATGGTCTCTGAGACATGGATTCGCAGAAATACCTGGCGTTATGTCCAGTGCAGTGTTAGCAGTTTGAATTGATGCAGTCCCTGTACTGTCAAGGGCACAATTGCACTAGCTACTGTAGAGAACGAGAATTAACCGTAGCCTATCTCAGCTGGCTCCACACATGTTTATTTATATTTCTATGATTCCCAGTCCATGAGGGAGCAGAGGTAAATTTTCATTCAGATCCATGATGCTTTCATTGTAACAGGAATCCTACCCAGATTCTCCATTATACTCATTCTCAGATATCCCCAATCCAGAAAACTTAGAAACACTAATTATATTTTTTGTACTCTTTATCTTCTCATTAACTCTTAGTGTTGGTCAGTCAGAATCCTGTGAGGTTCATGTCAGAACAGAATATAGACAACTCACTAAGTCTGGGATGGCCAAAACAATTATTCAGTTTCCCTGGTGGTGTAAAACTATTGGTCAGGCTTACAAGCTACTCTTTAAGAACCAGCGCTTTAGCTTCCCACAGCCTATATAATCTGCACATTATTTACTGATTCTATGCTGAAACATTATACATTATTTCTGGTAGACATAAGTTTTCTTTGCTTTAGGATACACCAAAGTATGTATCTAGATGTCAAGAACTAAAAACCATTTTTTTTTTTTGGCATGGTTTGTTTGCTGTACTGTAAGCTTTTGACCTTAAATTCTATTTTCTGAAACTAAAATGATGACATTGAATTGTCAACTCTTATGTTAAGACAAAGTTAAGCCAAGTCGATGATCCCTTAGGACCAATGTCTTTTAATTCCTCCACTTGTCTTCATTTATAGGTATTTACTTTTGGCTCTGTGTCAATGTGTTGTTTGTTGTTGTCATTGTTGTTTGGTTGGTTGTTGTGATGTAGTGGTTTTTTTTTTAGAAATGATTTCACTCTATTGTTGGCATAGAACCTAGCTCTGAGTGGCCTCAAAGTTGTGATCCTCCTGCCTCAGTCTCTTAAATGCTGAGAAGATAGGCAAGAGTCAGCATAGCTGCCTTACCAAAACATATTTTGTAAAGCAGTATATGTAACTATTTGTTGGCAACATTTTTTATTAGATTTCAGAATTCAGTCAGAGGTCAGTTAATTGCTTGGTTAATATGGTTAATACAGTATACATCATAGAAAGTGCTATGAGAAATGAAAGTGTTATAAGAACAAGACAAATAAGCATGTATTCCTTGTCCCTAAACTCTCTTTTAGATTAAGTAGGATTAAAGGGGCTATCAACTTTTAATTGTATTATCTCATATGGTTTTTTTTTTTTTTTTTTTGACATGGGGACTTGAGAGAATTTTTATGTTCAGAAACAAGAGGAGAATCTAATTCATAGATAACTTTATCCATTATTTCCCTCTGATTTTTTTTTATATAACTCCTTGGAATATATCCATAATATAGTAAACTAACCTTACTTAAACGCTTTGACCTGATTTTATAGTTCAATGAATATAGCAACTGCTAAATACATTTTAGAATGGGATAGCTTTGTGTACAATTGAAGAAATGTCTATTTTATAATACTTAATGATTTCATTTACAGCCCTCTTTTTAAAAAAAGAATTTTCCAGAAAGAATATTGGATGATGAAAATCAGCTTATTATTCTAGATTGAATTATTTTATTTAATGTATTTAATATATTTTAATTTCACAATTCGGTATATGTATATATGTGTGTTTATGTGTGGGCATACATCCATATGCTGTGTTGTATATGTAAAGGTAAGAGGACAGCTTGCAAGAGTTATTTCTCATTTTCAACTGTGTATATCCCGGTGATTAAGCTCAGGTCACCAGATAACATTACCTGCTGAGACTTCTAAACCAGGCCTGATTTATTTATAATCAATTTATAAATGATTTGATAATGAGGTTTGAACCATTGCTTTGTCTGTTTGTCTTAGCTTATGATACATACAAGACAGTGTCTTTCTTATGGGGGTAAGGGAGTTTCGAGACAGCGTTTCTCTGTGTAATAGTCCTGGCTGTCCTAGAATTATCCTTGTAGAAATGGCTGGCCTCAAACTCACTGAGGTCCACCTGCCTCTGCCTCCTGAATGCTGGCATTAAAGGCTTGGCTAACATTGCCAAGCAACAAGGCAGTTTCTCATTGACATTGTGTGGTATATGTAATAACTCCCTGTCTTAGCCCATCTCTCCCTAGCTGATCACCTTCCTTTTTTCTAATTCCTCTTTCCACTTATCTGTCCATATTTTAAAAGCTCCAACCAATTTAGATAAGATGTAAAAGAGAACATTTTGAGCGTTCTTACTTCTGGTGGAGTTTTGTTGGCAAAGTCAAAAGCATGCACACCTTCAGTAGTTCATAAATGATCCTGGAAATGATCAAGGTAATGGAAAACCACTGCTTTATAATTTGTGTTTTAGTGAAACTTTAATTATATATAACATATAAACAGTAATTAGAAATAACATTTTAATTAAAATTATCATTCATTAGTCTATAGATACCTAGACTATCTTCAATAACTACCTCTTATAATAGAGCAGCAATGAACATGGCTTTGCAAGTGTCTATGAGGTAAGTTATAGAGTACTTTGAGTATTTTCCCAAGAGTGGTATAGGTGAATCTTGAGGTCCATTGATTTAGCTTTTGGTAGAACCTCCACACTAATTTCCAAGGTGGCTATACCAGTTTGCCCTCCCACTAGCATTGATTAAATTCAGTAAGTGCTATCATTTACTTTATTGGTTTTGGCTTTTTTGACTGGGTAAGATGAAATCTCAAAATAGTTTTTATTTGTATTTCCCTGGTGACTAAGGATGTTGAACAGTTCTTTCCATGCTTTTCAGCCGTTTGTGCTTCATGGTTAGAGAACTCTCACTTGGTGTAGTTCAGTATACCATTTTAAATTGGATTGTATGTTTTCTTGATGGTCAGCTTTTTGTTTTTGGGGTTTTGTTTTTTGTTTGTTTTTTTTTTGTTTTAGTTTTTTGTGTATTTTAGATAGTAAACCTCTGTGAGGTGTAAATTATAAAGAAGATCCCCCTCACTTTCTCTAGGCTGCTTTCCTGATCAAATGATGGTGTACTTTGCTGTGCTAAAGCTTTTGAACTTCATGTGATCCAGTTTATTGATTGCTAGTCCTTATGCCTGTGCTCCTGGGGTCCTGTTCAGAAAGTCTTTCCCTGTGCCAATAAATTCAAGCCTGTTCTTTACATTTTTTCTGTCAGATTTAGGGTGAACTCAGACAGTGACAGCACACACAGGTTCTGCACAGGCTCAAACCACATAAAATCCCAGCACTGACAAGGAAGAATGGACACCAAGTCCCACCTATAATCAAGAACTTACTTGCAAATAATACCTACTTGGAAAGAGAAAATCAGTTTTCTTGAATGGGTATACCTCAATCACACTTCAGGACTGCCTCCATGCCTAGAAATAGTTGGCTAATTTAAAACAGTCATGTTTTTGTTTTGTTTTTTGGGGTTTCTTTGTATGAATTTTTATTTTGTTTTGGTATTTTTATGTCTTGTCTGTTTGTTTTGACTTTGTTTTTGTTTGAGACATAAGGACATGAAATTGGGTGGACAGGGAAATTCGGAGGAGCTGAGCAGGGGAACAAATATGGTCAAAGTATATTGTCTAAAACTTTTAAAAATAAAAACAAATTAATTTTAATATTATCTAATTAAATTGAAAACACCAAGGGAGTAACCAAAAAGATACTGCATTTAGGAAAACATACATGCACTAAATTCTAGCACTTCAAGACAGAGATTAATCTCAATTCAATAACAGTATGTTGCTTCAACACCCTACTTTCTTCAACAAACAGGTGATTTAAACAAAAACTGAGAAACGGGTTAGAGGGCATACTACATCAAATGGACCTAACATATTTCTACTGAGTATTAAACTTCATAACTAATTAATATACATTCTACTAGCAGCCCTTGAAATCTCCTCTAAAACATACCATAATTTAGATCATAAAATAATCTT